CTCTGAAACACACACAAACAACATCAAGGTGGCAAAAACAACTTTGGGTCCAGGGGACTCTCAATCAAGCCGAAAGCACCTGCAAGGATTTGAAGTAAGGATGAGGACATTAGGGATTTATGGAATTCCCTCCCCGCAAAACAAGGCAGATATAAAAAAAAAAAAAACACACTTTTTGCTATCACACTTTACATGCGTGTGCACACACACATATATACAGAAACACTAAAGAGGTCTGCAGCGCACACACTAGTATGCAGACAGGCACCCATGAAAACAAAAACAGCCCCGTGAAGACGAAATAAAAAATATGGAGTATGAAGGGCAGAGTACTGGGGGAATACTTGGATCCAAATCAAATGAATATATTAGTGAAAGGTGGTGTTAACCTGTGAAAGTGGAGGTTCAGTGAGCTGTCTTAGATGTGCTTTTGTTTTGTCCTTTTTGTTTATGACTCTGAAATGTCTTTTTTTTTTTTTTTTTATCACACTGACCAAGATGTATTAGCATATGAAAAGGCTGTTTTGAAGCAAGAACTCAGGAATTAGCAACAGAAAAATATAGTAGCTTGGGAAACAATAAAAAAAAAAGAAGAGTCCCTCTGCCCACAGAAGACAGCGTGGCTTTGGCGAATTACCACCCAAAGTGTAGAATGTATGATTTTTTTGTTTTTTTGTTTTGGCCCCTTTGGTGAAGTTTTTGTAAAAATAAAATTAAAAAAAAAAGAACATCCCCAGTCATGGAACATTTTCACTGCTCATTAAAATGGAAATGTGGTTAAATTGCCCTACATGGGGGGAGGAAAGGTAAAATGACGAGGGTTGACCTTTTTCTCTCCAGTTTCAGATACATTCATTTGAGTGGGGGAAGAGGAAGGAATGGCTGCTGGCCCTGTGCAAGGAACCAAAGTCTTCACAACACCTGCAAGAGAGAGAAGGGGGGAAAGGGAAAAAAAAATAGCGACACAAATGCGCCCTATGAAAAGAACAGATTGGATCAACAGCTGGTGGGGAGGGGGGGAGGAGGAGGAGGAGGACGAGGAGGAGGAGGAGGACGAGGAAGAGGAGGTGGGGTGGGGTGGGGGGGTAGCGAAGGCAAACCTTTTCACCAGGTCCTTGAAATACAAGCTGCAGGAAGCTAGAACATTTTGGTGGACTTCAAACTCTTTGCCTTCAACAATAATTTTCAGGTCTGTAAACTCTTTCGCTCTGCGCTGTTGGTTCAACTCCTTCAACATCTCTGTAGAACAAGAAAAAGAAACAGACAGTGCCACATGTTGGGTTTTAGAACATGTCTCTGTTTTTTCCATACATACATTAGCATGACAACAAGAAAAAGCAGAAAACAAAAAAAACCGGTGGAACAGTGCAGATCGTAGCACACACACACACACAATACTGCCGGCCGGTCTTAAGAAACAATGTGCATTAAATGATAGAAGAGAACAAACACTTGTGCATGTAAAGAGATCAAATATCACATATCAGATACCGTACCGGGGAATGTGCACAACATGAGATCAACAGCTCGGATTATAATGAGAAAAGACAACTTGTTTAACTGTATTTGACTTCTGCAAATTTACACTGCAGCACTAGAACTTCAATGAAGGGGAAGGCTGAGTGAGATTAAAAAAAAAAAAAAAAGCATCTAAGAGAGATGTGGGCTGAAAACAGAGACACTGTCAATGCATTATTCATATCGAAATAAAATTCTTTGGCTTCTCGCTAATGCCCTACTCAGCGTAGAGTTGACCTTGAAAACGTTGCTCAATGAGAAAACAACTGCTTATCCCTCCCCCCCTCCAAATCCCCAACACCCTCTCCTCGCGTCTTAGAAGCACCAGCCCTCATCTTCTTCCTCTCTGGAAAGAAATAATAAAAAACTAGGAAAAACAGGGACGACACATTCTGAGAGAACATGCTTGGAGCAAACCATTGTGCTGTTGAAGGCCACAGCGCGCAGTGAGTTGTGGTGTAGCGGCGCCGTGTTAAGCCTGGCCTTACTGTAGCGCCGGGTCGGAGGCGCTTGTTTCTCCGCATCTTAATGAGGCACCATGAGGGGATGCTGAGAGTGAAAACCAGCGGGAGGCGAGCAACTTATTCTACAGCTTTAGGAGGGATAACCAACACTGCTGCGTTGTTAATCTCCTATCGAGAAGAGAAACACTGAGAGATTCCCGACAACGAGCCGCAGACACTGTAACGTGGAACGCCGTCCATTACAGAGGCACCTTCCATACTGTCATCTGGTTTTTTTTTTATGGAGGCTGCAGCCTGCGAGGCGCCGCAGACAAACACTTGTTTGGCAACAGTCTGCGTGGTGTAAAGGCACATATTCCATGCTGGGGGGAGAAGGAGCCACAGTGTGAGATGCATGGTGATTTAAAGCCCCTTTCAGACCTGCTGCTCCTTTTCTGTGAATCTGATGGCAACTGAACGTGTCTGAACGAGCAGAAGCTTCGCGTTAACGGCGAGGCGTGCACGAGTGACGGAGCGATTTGGTGAACGTTGGTCACTAAAAACCTCACAGAGAGGCCAAAAGCCAAGAGTTTTGCCGTGAACTTAGCTCTAGAATTTTTTGAAATGTCCATAAAAACACAGAAATACAGACGACTGTGACGGGTCAGATTAATAAGAACAGAATTCGGTTCCTTCCCACTGTTGCAGACTGCTTGAGCAGTGGTCCCCAACCACCAGGCCGCGGACCGGTACTGGGCCGTGGGTCATTTGGTACCGGGCCGCACAGATAGAATAAAAACATTTTATTAGTTTATTTTTATTTCCAGCGACGTCTGCAGAATGTTTTATTTTGAAACATGACTAGCTCGTCTTCCCGTCACTTCCGTTTGTGTTCGTTTCCCGGACTTGACTGTCAGTTTTTATGCCCGGCTGCTAAACGAAACCGTCAGTCAACAACAAACGTCTCAGGAGAGCTGCTTTGGAAAGTGGGAGAGACTTAATACTGAGACAGGAGAAATAGTAAACATGTTAAGCAATAAAAATTTATTTTATTCATTTATGAAACTTTTCAATAGAAAAAAAAAACAATTATTATTTGTTTTGTGCGTAATGACCGGTCCGTAGAAAAATTTCTTGCTTAAAACCGGTCCGTGCTGCAAAAAAGGTTGAAGACTGCTGTGCTTGAGGACTGCTGAAGCTTATGGGGAATCCAAATGTTTTGGATTTTTGGGTGTTTCTGCCTTTGTTAAGCGCTATGAGATGACTTGTTGTTGTAAATATGCGCTATACAAATAAAATTGAATTCAATGGAATCCGGGTATCGACAAAAGCCAAAGTTTGGTTGTTGACGAGTGAAATGTGGACGTAAATACAGCTGAACTGATGAAGACTGAGACTGCAACAGGTCAGATAAATAAAATTCAACATAATCTGGGTTTTGACCTGTCCAGGGTGTCCCCTGCCTTCACTCTAAGTCAGCTGGGATAGGCTCCAGCCCCCCATGACCCTAATGAGGATTAAGAGGTGTATAGATAATGGATGGATGGATAATCTGGGTTTTGGTTAACCTGAGTTCAGTTTGTCGCTTCCAGGTGTTTGTGGGAGTTTTTCCTCTTGAGTTTATTAAATACAGCAGGAGGACCCAAATGAGCCTCCACAAAGAGAGAACAACAGCAGTAACTTCAATAATTACTCATATTTATTAATCATCCTCGACATACAGATAGGACTGAAAGCCACAAAGTACTTTTCTTCACCTCGGATGAACGACCTGTCGCACAGAATCACAGTTAAAGCAGTTTAGGAAGATATATTCTCCTTTTCTTTTCTTAAAATCGCCAAAGTGACGCCGTTTATCAGAAACTGTAGAAACAGAAGGAATAGTTGGATTTTCAACCTTCTGACGGCCGCTGAACCCCTTAATCTGCTGAAAAAGTTTAAAATTGTCTTATCGCTTTATTCTACACGACTCGTTTAAAAATTCACAGCAGATTCAGTAAAAAATATTTTAAAAATTTTTAAAAAAAATACTTTTTTTGCCTGAACTGTGCTGAACTGCAGACTGTGTTTACTCAAAGCACATCGGAGACAATCAGGGAAGCAAATTAAAAACAGAATATGTATAGTATCCACGGTTCTGATGCTTTCTGGTACCGGTGACCCCGGAGACACTTGAACATATTCTACATGTTGATTACAAGTTTTTCAATTTCTGTAAAGTTATTTTTCTTTTTCATGACATTCTATGTTTGTGATGCTGCACAAAGGTCATTTATGAGTTGAATTTTTCTCACATTGAGGTGCAGGAGTTAAAAAAAAAGTGACAGAAGGAAAAAGAAGAAAACTGCTCAGAGTTTATGGATTAAATCGTTAGCGACTGTTCTCAACTTTAACTCCATCGGTTAACTCATCATCACACATGGACAGAACGCTCAGTGTTTAGAAAATCATAAATAAACTACTATTTAGTTTGACGAGCATTAGCTTAGATTGAGTTTCTTGTTTATTCGTGCCATAATACGCCTCATATCACCCTGTGGTAGCTTTGTCAGAGGCCATAAACGTGTAAAAGTGACCTCTGTGTGACTGTCTTTTGATAAAGCGGCAACGCCACGACGTCTGAAAGGGCTTCGGACGAGAAAAGCGGCGAATGCACCCTTTAATCAGCGAGAAAAATTCTGAACGGCAGCATCGGTGACTCACTTGCGACAACAAAAGGTGAGCATGTGCGCGTCACACAGCCGTCTGTTGTTGAAAACGTGAGAAACTGATCAGCCTCGCGACGGTACTCGTGACACCCGAGCTGAAATAAAGGAGTTTTTCTTTTTTGTTATCGCCACAAAAAAAAAAAAAGAGGTTCACGTCAGACTCAAAGCCGGGATTTAATTAACCTGGAATGACACTCGGGCCTCTATTTGGCTGGAATATCTCCTCATTTAGCTCCCTCCATTCTCCCGTCTGACACCGGGAGCTCGGTTCTGAATTAATTCGGCGGCTGAAATTATACAGTATAAAGACACATGACAAATAAGGTGCAATTCAGGAGCATGCTTTGGTTGAAAAAAAAATAAAAAATTCTCGTCCGAGCGGTGCATCCTTCACATCAAGGAATTAACGGCCAGAAAGAAAACGAGCCGGTTATTAAACACGCTGAATGCTAAACGGGCAGAAGGAATAATGAGAGATGCAATTTTTTTTTTGACAATACGTCCGCCGTGCTGGACGCACAGCTGCACGGTGGAGAGCGAGCATTCACACGCAAAACACAAAAGGCCCGCCATTTGCCTTGTCTTTCATCCATCTCTCTCCACATTCCACTCCACTTGCTGCTTGTCAGTGGGCCAGCTATCTGATTACTGTGTGGGCACCGACTGTGAATAGTGAATACACAGTAGTTTGGAGTTTGCATTAGTGAATTTCCAGCGACCGATATGGCTCTCACCTCCAATCAGCCACACCGCATACCATCCATTTGCCCCGAGAATAGAGAAAGTGAGAGGTTTGGGTGGCGGAGGGGGGGGAGACAGAGAACTCCACTTGTCAGCAAACAATGGCCGCCTCCCTCGGAGCCGTGCAGACACACCTGAATGCCTGATGGAAAAGCTAATTACGGCTTCTTGGGGGTGCGTCGCGGAGAGCAGAACAACTCATCACCGCCGGGGACCATGAAACTGCACATGGCGTCCCTATTCTGGGGTTGTGGTGCTCAAAGGAACCACGGCGGCGGCTTTGAAAGCACCAAATGTCTCAATACTCCTAAAGGAGGAGGGGGATCTCTCTCTGGAGGGGCTGCAGAAGAAAAACAGAGTAAAAGTGAAGCAACCTCGTGGACCACAAACAGCGCTGACATGTGCTCGAGTCCTGCTCAGACGTGATTCACGGCAATAACAACACCCCGGCGCTGGTTTTTCCATGATTGGTTGACACAGTGCACGGGGGGCACGGACACGGTGCCAACTCTGCTGCTCAGCCTAGTAACTCTGCTCTACAGTCAAGGAACTCCGCGGCCAATGGGGTCCCGGGCTGCGGTTTACACTAACCTATCAGGTTGCGCCGCGCCTCCCTTACTTTAAGGTGTAGCAAGTCGTCCCCCCTGAGCTCCCTGATAGGCCGCCGCTGGAGGGCGACTCGGCGCGCCATTGGCTGCAGAACTTTGGAGCCATTTTGAGGGGTTCTGCATGTTTTTTTTGCATCCGCCATTTTGTTTCACCCCAAAAATATACCGTTTGGCATCTGGAACAAACTCGCTGCGTCCAAAAAAAGTCAAAGCAAGAACGT